GACCTCGGAGGAATCCCTTGATGTGGCAGGAAACAGTGATGTGTTTCCGAAATCCTCAGCGCTGGGATTCATGTGATGGGGTAAATGCTGCCTTTCATTTTTGGGGAGAGAAGGGCTGTCTAGCAGAGCTGATACCAGTTAAGATTAGCAGGATTTGGTTTAATCTCTTTTTTTTTTTTTGTAATGGCTGGAATTGGTCTAGTTGCAGATGGCGTTTTATACATTAGAGTTTTTGTAAGGGTTTATTCCACTTTGTGCTGTGCACGTGAACAAGGGGAGACAGTGTCTGCAAGTGTATCCTTGAGCCATCACTGTGTCCCTCGGTGAAATAATTCTGCTGGCTATTCACTGGAAAAGGCTGAGACACAAATCCGTGGTCGCACCGTGCTGCTGAGCTTAGCAAGCCGCTTGCAGGGGCTGGGTTGCCTGCTTGCCTCTCCGAACCAGCTGCTTTCAGCCACGTTCATAGAACTTCATGCAGCTTTGCAGGGATCGGGAGCATCGGAGGGCTGGGAGCTTGGGCAAATCCAGCTTCTCCAGGGTGAAGGCAGAGGAGCGGCAGCCTGTGCTGATCTGCCTGTCCCATCAGTGTGGGTTACTGGGGCTTTAGGGGTTATTTTCCTACGGAGACAAGGGAATGCACTGGGGACAGTGATGTGATGGTGTGGGTCAGGCGTGCATCTGCGTTGTCGGGGATGCTCCCGGCACCTCGAAGGATGCCTTCGGGTAAGGCTCATGGCGAGCAGCCCAGCTCACCCTTCTGCCCTCGGGCTGTTTCCTACAGGTGCAGGAGAAGTGCGACTACGATCTCGTAACGCCCCTGGCTCTGCTCTTCTACTATGCGGTCCTGTATGTAAGTCCTGAGGCTGCTGCGTGTAGCTTGACCCCAGCCCCCGGGGAGCCACGGGGTCCAGGGCCCCACGGAGCCACGCAGGACAGTCATTGGAATCAGGGTGGCTTTCATCTGCAACATCACAGTCTACTTTGATCAATTCACCTCAAAAAAAAAAAAAGATCCTGTACGAATCTACAGGGATCAAGACCAGGCAACCATTGCACAAGCTGAGAGATGAGCTTCAGTGGTTTTCATCATTTTATTTAAAGATGGGCTAATCAGAAAGGGAGGTGGACAATATCACTGCACAGAGAAGGCAAATTTTTTTCATTATGCTTTGTACTTGTGCAAAATGTATAGGCAATGCTAATGAAAAGAAGGAGCGGAGCCTTCACAGGAAATACTTTTTTTATTATTATTATTAGCACAATGCATCATTATCCCAAGGAAATCATTGCTGCCAGATCTTGCAAAAGCACAGGCTGTGATGCGATTCATCTGGATGGATATGGGGTTGTTAAAAAAGAAATTTATATATAGACTCTGGTGCGTGAGCCACAGCCAGGAGGTTGGGAGGGTGCAGAGCGGATGAAGCTTTCTCGGAGCTGTGCCCAGCAGGGACCCTTCCCTGGGAGATGACCGGGGGTGTCACGGGGTGAAGCTCTGCTCCGATCCGCTTCTCTTCCTACCACTTGACAGAATCACAGAACGTTAGGGGTTGGAAGGGACCTCTGTGGGTCACCCAGTCCAACCCTCCTGCCAAAGCAGGGTCACCCAGAGCAGGCTGCACAGGACCGTGTCCAGGTAGGTCTGGAATATCTCCAGAGAAGGAGACTCCACAGCCTCCCTGGGCAGCCTGTTCCAGGGCTCCGTCACCCTCAGAGGGAAGAAGTTCTTCCTCATGTTCAGCTGGAGCTTCCTCTGCTTCAGTTTGTGCCCATTGCCCCTTGTCCTGTCGCTGGGCACCACTGGAAAGAGTCTGGCCCCGTCCTCCTGACCTCCACCCTTCAGATATTTAGAGGCATTTCTAAGGTCCCCTCTCAGCCTTCTCTTCTTCAGGCTGAACAAGCTTGGCTCCCTCAGCCTCTCCTCACAGGACACATGCTCCAGTCCTCTCACCAACCTTGTAGCCCTCCGCTGGACTCTCTCCAGTAGCTCTTCATCTTTCTCGAGCTGGGGAGCCCAGCACTGGACACAGTACTCCAGATGGGGCCTCACCAGGGCAGTGTAGAGGGGAAGGAGAACCTCCCTCGACCTGCTGGCCACACTCCTCCTGATGCACCCCAGGATCCCATTGGCCTACTTGGCAACCAGGGCACGCTGCTGGCTCATGGTTGACCTGCCATCCACTTCCAGCCTAAACCCTCGAGTTCTCACGCACTGCTCGAGGTCCGTGTCCTTGCTCCCGTTCTCACTGGGTCTCCCTGTCTCCTGCAGGCTCCTCACTTCCCACCAGGCTCTGACCTGCTCCTGAGGGCCGCCAGCGTATACCACAGCTTCCTGACCTGGCCCGTGCCCTACTGCAACATATTCCGCGAGCTGCTCACCTTCATCAGCGACGAGCTCAAGGCCCCTGGTAAGCGCTCCCGCCCGTGGGGTTTTCATGTGCTGCTGGCCCTGCTTCCCCACAAACACCCACTGCCACCACCACCCCCTGTTTGTTCCGTGGACTCTCCTGGTGTTGCTGTCTCATACCCCTCTTGCTTGATGACTCCCTTGAGCGTGGTGTCCACATTTACCTAGCGCGTCCCAAACCTCAGCTTTTCCGGGAGGCGAGGACCTTAGCCCTCTATCCTCTGGATGTTTTTCCCTGGTGGTCCAGCACAGGGTGAGACCAAATTCCTCCAGAGGAGCAAGGCAGGGTTGTGTTTGCGGTGGTTGCCTTGCGTGCAAGGTGGTGGGAGCATCCCAAGGACTCTCAGCTCCAGACCAGTGTGGATTAGTGAAACGTGTAAGTATTTCCTGGCTGCCTTTCAGTCTGGTGGGTCTGTTCCATGGCAAAGCATGAGCTGGCTGCTCCCACCCAGCCCTGGGCTTTGTTTGAGATGCTCAGTTTGAGATGCTTAGTGGTGTAACTGGGGTGATAACACTGGGTCCATTCATCGGCATCAAGGTGGCTGGAGCCTTCAAGCCTGCCCTTGCGTGGAGATTTCCATAGGGTTGGGGGACTCCCTGGCTCTTTCTTTACAGCTGAGACGCTACCTTGTGATACGGCTTTGGGCACATCTGTCAGCAGCCGCAGTGCTCCTCTTAATTAAGGACTCCTCGTAGATGTCCTGTTGTTCCCAATGGAGCAGCTTTTCAAATTATTTCTAAAAGGCCCTTTCTCCTATTCTTCCTGTCTTTTGGTGGCTTATGGAGAGCTGTTATCACACAGAGCAGACTTCAGCCCTTGTTTAATCCTGCACAGGGCCACGGCAGTGAGACCGGCTCTGAGGCCTCAGATGGGTCTGTGGGCTGTGGCTGAGGCTGGGGATGCTTCTCCCCATCCTCAAACCAGGCAGCTGCTTTGGAGAGCCCTGACGGGGACCTGAAATGCAGGGTCTCCGTCACGGCAACAACGTCCTGCGGAGGTGGGAGCTTGTAGGTGCAGATGGGATGAAAGATGCTTTCAAAAGAACAAAAAGATTTAAAAAAAACCCAAAACCCTCTGCAACATTGACACTGGACTGGCTGATTAACACCGAGCTCAAGGCTCTGTCAGCATAAATGGCCATGGCCACCAGGCAAAGTCTGGCTGGGCTGTCGTGGTGCGTCCAGCCTCCAGCTTGGAGCTACAGGGCCAGCATGGATATGGCAACGCTCGTCCCACACTGCTGCAGCCGTGGACTTTCCCAGCTCCTATCTGGTTGTTTATTGCTGTGACACCGGTCAGGTCCGTGTTCTACAGACCACTGGGAAAGCCCCAGTGCTGGGGGGGGTTTGCTACGTCCTGCTCTGGTGCCATCACAAGTGCCTGGGGCTGCCTGAGCTGGGGACTTTGGTCCAAAGGCTTTTCCCCTCCTACAAGTGTGTGAGATTCCCCCACCCTGCCAAAAAATTGCCGTGTGGGAGATGCTGGCTTGCCGGGACTGGGGAGCCAGTTGCTGCCTCTCACCGTGGCCTCTCCCCTCAACTGGAGCCAAGAACAGCAAAAATGTCTCCTCTGCTGGAAAGCTGGCCAGGACCTTATATGCTTGGTGCATGGCCTCCGTGGCCTACTGCGAGGCTGTAGTGAAATCTTTTTATTGAAGTGAGGGTAAATATTAACTGAGAACAAGCTGCTGTCAATATTTGCTGAGAATGCAATAGCTTTTCTCTGCAAACTGGGGCTGATGTCTCTGCAAGAGGGGTGAGCGCTGCTGTAACTGGGGGGCCTGTGTGGATCAACATGAGCTTCCCGTGGGTGCTGGGTCCCCATGGGTGCTGCTTCTTGGCTGTTGAGCAGCAGCTGGGGTTGGGATGTGGCTGCTTGCAGTAATAAGGGCGTTGGATCTTGATGACACTGTAAGATCTTTCCCAAGATGTACCCTGGTCCTTTTGCCTTTTGGGGGTGACATGGGCTTTGCTGTTGCCACCCAGTCCAGGTCCATTAGACATTGCCTGGTTGGGGTTCCCAATGGCAGCAGGGTATGGTCCCAGGGAGGCATCCAGGGACACGGGCTCCTCATGCCGGCCTGGCTTCTGTTGGGGCCAGGCTGGGCTCCATCTCTGCGGGAGGGAAGGTGGCAGTGACCTGCTGTCCGTAAGTAGGATCCAGGGCCTGGGGGGGCTCAAGCAAGTGGCAGAAGCTGCTAAATACCACCCATGCAATTCAAAACCGATCCCACATCGGCAGTGGGGCAGAAGGGACTGGGGATGGAGCAGTTCTCCCTTCCCATCCCCTGGTTGCCTTCCTGTCCCCTTGGGCTTTCACCCTTTCCTGTTCCAAGGCTTCCTTGCTCCTAGGCTGGTCCCCTTGCATAGTCCCTTGTCCCCATAAGGACTTTTGGTGCGGCCATGCCTGCTCCATGCTGTAGCTTGGCCAGGTCGGGATCACGTTAGAAGACAAAATCAATGTGCTCCTGAAGCAGGACAGTTTGCAGTGCTGCCATGTCTCCTGTCCTCTGCTCTCTCCTCCAGGGATCTCATTCCAGAGGCTGGTGAGGACAGAGCAGGGGCTGCCCGTGAAGAACTACCAGAGCTCCACTGTGTAAGTGTGGCCGTGGGCACTGCTGGCGTCTCTCTCTGTAGCATCTCCACCATCCCACGCTGCTTGAGCAGCAGTGGGGCTGCAGCGAGCAGCATCTCAAAGGTGTAGCGGTGGGTGCCAGGGAGAAGAGCTGGATAGCTGGGCTGAGCTGTGGGAGGGGTCGAGGAAAGTGGCTGTGGCATCTCCACAGCTGTGGGTCAGGACAATGTCAGTTATCCCACAGCTATGTTTACCGCAGGGCTGCAGATCTGAGTGAAAACAGCCGGGGAAGGCAAAGTCTGCTCCGCAGGGAGCTGCTGATCTCGGTGCAGGCTGAAGAACAGCCAGGAGATGCTTTGATCTGCGTGTTTGGGAGCCACCAGTCCGAGGGTGGACAGAAGCGAGTCTGCCCCAGTGCAACAATTAATAAAAGCCTTGCAGCTCTCAGCGCAGTCAGACTTTGCACCTTATTTGAGGGCTGAGCCTTTCCTCCTGCCAGGGCACCTCATTTGTAAATAGGAAAATGAGCCTGGGCGGTGTGTGCCCTTCCTGGCTGCAGTGCCAGCCCCAGGGACAGCTCTTCGTGCACTGCACTCTGTGCAGGAGGGCTGTCCTGCTCTTCTGCCTTGTCCCCTCATGCCGTGCAGCTCTGGATCTGCACCTATATCCCACCCAGCTGCGCTGGTGCTGCTGTGTTGCTTTCCCAGTACAGCTCCCCTGCTCTACACGCTTATACTGGTGCAAGTGTAACCACTGATGACTTACAGCAGGGTGGTTATATTTGCATAAAAAGCCCTGAAAACCTGGCACAAAGCTCTACACAACTGAACCTTGGGCTTACTGAAAGCTTGTGCCTGTTGCCTGAGCTTTCTAGAACCAAGCAAACCAGAGCACATCCTTAATTCAGAGCCATTTTTGCTCAGTGAGGGGGACTGCTCTCCTCCGTGAATGGAAACACGTGCTCTCTGGGCTGCAAGTTTGGGAATTCAAAGTCTGTGAGTATTCATGTTGCGATCCAGGGCAAAAGTGTAGCTGAAGGATGTGGTTCTTTTCCTTAAAGCCCAGAAGTGGTGATCTGACCCACACCTTGCAGGGGGAAGATGTTTTAGGGGCCATTATTATTTTCTATTTACTCCTTTGTTGGATGTGCTGGATGTCCAGTTTGGACAGCTGGCTGCTGGGCTGGAGCCCTGTCTGGGCCCGATTGGACAGTTATTGGGCTGATGGTATTGCAGATGTGGCAGGAGAAATGGTGCCAGGGATGGTGCCGAGGGGTAGGATGGAGGCTGCTCATCCCTTACCGGCTCCGTGCCCGCAGCTGGCATGGCAGCATGGGTCTGGCACCCTGCAGAGCCCCGAGACTTTCCAACTGAGAGGCTGCTGCCATGTGGTGCGAATTTATCCAAGAGTTTTGTGTGCCACCAGCATCCGAGGCTGGCTGCCCAGCGTAACCACCATCCCCTTGTCCCCAGGACGGTGCTGCTGCTCAACCGCTCCGAGGTGCAGAGCGAGTTCCTCTCCATCGCCGAGAAGCTGAGCACCAGCGAGCACCCGCAGCGCACCACGCTCGTCCTGCTCCTCGAGCACCTCTACCAGGCCAGCTTCGGCACCCGCTGCGACCTGGAGAGCCTGCACCACCTCCTGAAGGTAGGCTCGGGGAGCTTCGGCTTCGGTGATGCCACGATGCCGCTGGGAACAGTTTCATACAGTTGGCTGGTGGATTTCATGATGGAAATAATATTCGACTGACAAAGGAAAAAGTGCTTTTGATAACACTTCTTGTAGGAACAGTATGCCTTTCCAGTCTGTTATCAGGTTAGACGTGAGGTCTATGCTTCGGTCTTGTGAAGTGTGGCGAAGGGTTTGTGGGGGGTAACTTGCTTTTTGCTCCGTTCTCCATCCCTAAGTGTAGCAAGGAAGAGCCCCTGGATTTGAAATGCAGCAAAAGTGTTCATTTGACCAGAGAAACACTTTATTTTGGTGGCTGGGGGGGCGGAAACTTGTGAAGAAAACCCCTAAGGTTGTTCCAACATAAGTTTTTTTTTTTTTCTTTGCAGAGGTCTAGGGGGGACTTGAAGGGGTAGGAGTTAGAGGAGGGAGAGAGATTTGCCCAGTGGTGTGGTTAGTGACCTTCCCCAAAGACCCATGCGTCCCAACTGCAGAGGGACCTCCTTCCATCTCTCACCTTGGCTCTGCTCCCCCCAGTCCAAGACACTGGAAGAGCTCTCGGAGATCTATGCCAGCGCCGCCGACGCACAGGAGATCGCAGCTGCCAGCAGCGACCCTGTCCCAGCCCGGGAGCGGCTGCAGTCTGTGCTGCGGGACATCGCCGGAGCCGCGTCCTTTCCTGCCATCGCGGGTGAGAACCCCCCTTCCTGGCCCCTCTTTCCTCCAGGGTTTTCTACGCGCTCAGCCCCTGCAGCAGCGATGAGCTCCCCTGTGCTGCGGGCGAGTGAAACCCTCTTTTGCGCAAAGTTTCAACCTAGCGCAACGACAACTACAACAAAAAAAACCCCACCAACCCAGGTTCTATTTCATAACCACGTGATGAGCCAGAACTTGCTTCTCATTCTTCATTAAAACAACGACAACAACAAATTCTCCAGCCTTTGTGGGTGAGATGAGAACATTCAGTCAGAAACTGATGGCAGCAGTGATGTCTGATGGCTCTTACAAGTGTGAAATGTCCCCTTGTCCCAATTGCATGTGACTTCACGGGGATAATGACAGAGCATCAGTGCTCTGCATGACCTGGACTGCCCAAAGCATGTGCGTGGGGTGGGCGGCATCTCCCACCAGCCAGGAGAGCTGTCAGCAGCCGTATCGGTGTTCCCTGCAAACTGATTCCTCTCCTTCTTCCCAGGCGAGGATCAACCCCGCAAGCTCCACACCATTCCCATCCCCACCGCCCGCTGCTACACTTACAGCTGGGATCAGGATAACTTTGGTAAGTGGAGGGGGTCCCCCGCCCCCCCTAGTGAGACTGCAGCCCTCTGCTCCCCGTCGCGGGGGTGGCTGAGCAGCGTTTCAGCTCTGCGGGCACTGCCATGTAGAGCCAGGCACGCTGCACAAACTGGGGCCGGAGCCTGAAGGAGCTGGCAACAAATTGTTGGTGGTGATGTGATGGGAGAGGTAATGCAGTGGGTGCCGGTGTCTCCCAGATGGGGAGGCCATGGGTGCCAGCTTGGGCGTGATGCCTGCTGTGATCTCGAGCAAAGCCCTCATCCGAGCTGTTGGGCACAAGGCACTGGTGGCCCCAAAACACGTTGTGTTGTCAGACACAAATCGTGCAGGGCTTGATCTCCTGGGCAAAGCTGTGACTTCTATTAAACTGGAAGAGATTCGTCACACCCGTGTCCGTGGGGTATTAGTAGGATGGAGATCTTGTTTGGTAGAAACCTCCTCTGCAAGGAGTAAACCTTGCTTGTGCCCTGGAAATGTTGCTGGAAAAGCCTGGTTGCACTGAGATGTCAGGGCTTTGTGGGGTTGAGACCCCTCGGGCGTTGCAGCTCTTCCCCCACCTGGGATGGCTGAGGGATGGGTGCCTTCGCCGTGCTTTCGGCCCGGCTGCAGCAGCTTTGCAGGGGAAATGGTGGCTTCCTCTTCTGCTGAGCTGGTCTCTCCAGCTTCCCCATTCCTGGAAGACCTTTTCTGTTCCCATGAAGGTTTAGTGTTTGTTGCCTGCTGGTTCCAGCGAGCTGGACCAGAGCTCTGGCTTGGGCTTTGCAGCGAGTTCAGCCTTGCCTGGAGGCCACCTGCAGTGGGGTGATTTGGGGCTTGATTATCAAGATACCTTGCTTTCCTCCTGCCCTCTGGATAAACCCGGATCAGACACAGGCACATTGTGAAATCTGTGTAGGAAGGACGCAAAACCCCAACTGGTGTTTGCCTTTCGAGAACCCAAACAGAATGTGACCTCAAGGAGAGAAACACATTTTGTTTTGCCATATCTGAGTGCTGTATGGTAATCTAAAAACCTTCAGGAGGAGGCTTTCAGCTCCTTGTTTCAAAACATGCAGGATCAAAGAGAGTGTTGGCCACGCTGTAGTAATGTCATTGTCTGGGGTCGTGACATTTCCAGTAGCCATGGTGGATCCCGTACCAAACCTGACCTCCCTTGGGTTGCCTTTCAGATATCCTCAATGATGTCCTCAGCAAAGAGTGCAGCATTGTTGAGCCCATGGCCTCGGAGAACGAAGAAGAGGATGAAGAGGAGGAGGAGGAGGAGGTGGAAACTGATGGCTGTTCCCCTGACCGGGACTCGCTGCTTTCCCCCATCTGCACCATTTCCAAAGACTCTGTGTACTCGGCACTGTCAGAGGAAGGATCTAAGCCCTCACGAGTGTCTCTCTTCACCGCCTCCAAGGACTCTATCTCAGAGCTGACGGTGGTCTCCAGAAAGTCCCTGAAGTCGTTCGTCTCCAGCCTGAAGGACTGCATGGACAGTGGGTATGCGGAGGACAGCGACGAGAGCTCCCTGGACATGGTGGGGAGGCCGGAGCTGAAGGTGGAGAAGACCCACCACAAATACAGACACACGCTGACCAACAAGATCTACAAACTGTTCAAGAGCAAAAGCCAGCTGGTCTTGAGGAGGGACCTGAAGGACTACCCATACACGGGCTCACTCTCGCTGCCGCTGCGCCGGGGCGAGAGCCCGTGCACCCCCCCG